CATCAAGCCTGGGTTGAAGGCGCTGCACTGGCTGCCTATAGCATACCGAGTCCGCTTTAAAGTGCTGGTACTTACCTATAAAGCCCTATATGGCCTGGGTCCGACCTACCTGAGGGACCGCCTTTCCCCGTACATACCCCCAAGAGCACTTCGGTCGGAGACCCAGAGCCGATTAGTGGTTCCGGGTCCCCGAGAGGTAAAGTTGGCCGTGACAAGGGCCAGATCCTTTTCAGTGGCGGCCCCTGCCTGGTGGAACGAGCTCCCGGATGAGATCAGGGCCCTGCGGGACCTTATGCAGTTCCGCAGGGCCTGCAAGACGGAGCTCTTCCACCAGGCTTATATGTAGGGGCCGCCACTACTGCCACCACCACCAACGGTGGTAGTTACCAGCAGGGTCTGGAAAGCCCCGAATAATCTGGAGGTATAAGATCTCCCTGGCAATAAGAACAATGGACGGGTTCGGACTTTCTAGTAGACAGCGATACCCCAAACTAAGGGCTGTTGGAAGTTATCATAAGAACAACTAAGACCATCTTGCCAAATTGAAGCACTTTATTACTGTTATTGTTGAATTGCACTGTTGTTATAAAAGTTATGGTTTTATTGGTTTTATGAATGGGCTATGCCCCTTGTAAGCCGCCCTGAGCCCGCTTGCGGGGTAGGGCGGGGTAGAAATACTTATAAATAAATAAAATAAATAAATAAATAAACAATCAGTATCCATTTTTGAAAGTGCTGGAAACAATTAAAGTGCAGAGCAAAGATTCCTAACACTACTTAAGTGATAGTCCTGGTGGTACTCTCAAATCGGCTCAATTTGATCGAGTAATTTATGCGGCGAGATAGACTGAAGGTGGTAAAACCAGGGCACAGAGTCACTCCTCGGTATTTAATGTGGCTCCTAATCGAAAACCGGGTGGAAGAGCTCCGTCTTACAGGTCCTGTGGAACTGTAAAAGGTCCCGCAGGGCCCTGATCTCCTCCAGGAGCTCATTCCACCAGTATGGAGCCGCCACCGAGAAGGCCCGGGCCCTGGTTATCGCCAGTCTAGCATTTTAGGGGCGTGGGAGGGCCAGCCAGTTTGGGGGCCCTGAGTGCAGTGCTCTCTGGGGAACATACTATTTTTTATTTACTATTTTTTATTTATTTGCTGAACTGGCCAAAGATCACCCACCGATCTTCCATGACAGAGTGAGGGGTCAGAGCTGAGTTTCCCAGATTCTAGTATGACACTTCAATTACTACACCAGGTTGGCTCTCTTTGTTCTCTGACAAAGGAACTTCAAAAGAAGAATCCAATATAGAATTGCTGAAATGGAATTCATTAACAAGTTCAAGACCTGAGAAGTAGACTTTATGTCAATGCTACTTTCCCTGTCTAACAATATTGGGGTGACTGCCACTTACCCTGAGTGAACTGATTACTCTTTGGATTGGTTGTTATTTTAAACTGGTATCTCTTGGTAACATCTGCCCCCCCCCCCCATCTCGGCATGCCTTTCTGGGATGTATACACATCTGATAAAACAACCTCTCTCGTGAAAGATTATGGCTGGAATAAATTTTGTCAGTGTTTTAAGGTGCCACTGGACTGATTTTTTATTTCGCCTATGAAAAATACAGCAGATTTTAAATGGTGTGTTTGGTCTCTATTTGCATAAAGAAGTCTTAACCTTTATTTCTTCAGAAAGGTTTATTGGCTGGAATGTTCTAACGAATCATCCAGGGGAGGATAACGTTTCTTAAAATTAATTCTGCTATTATAAATGGCAAAAACATATTTTAGGAATATTTAGGAAAATGTACAGAAATCTGCAAAAAGCACTAAATGTAAATTTTAGGAAACAAGAACAATTGCTACACACACTAACAGATCGACGGAGGCTCCTCCTCTTGAAAAACATCAGCTGCCCCAAAAATAAAGCCCTTGGTTACAGATGCTCTCCAACTGCACCAGTCTTTAAAAGGAAGCAATATACGCTTTTAGATCCTGCATGGTTCCAATCCAGCAAAAGACAGCAGATAAGCAATTTAAAATTCACTTTGTGTCCTAGTTAAGTAATTGGTTTAGCCTGCAAGCTAATTTGGGCTGAGTCACACCATCTCATAGGGTTGGATGGATCCAAAGCTCCACCAACAGATTAAGGACAGCTAAGTGGGACTATTCCACCACACGTTTCCTGGGCATCGCACTGGTCCTGGGGGTAAAATGGATACCTGCAGAAGATAAACCAGCAAAAACTGCTTTCCCCTCCTCTACCAATGGAAGTGCTGTTCTAGCTGGGGGGGGGGGGAAATGTCTCTTTTGGATCTAACTCATGATTGCCAACTGGGATCCAGTACCAAACGGATGCTTAACCCATGAGAACAGCTGCTTGTTCGAGGAATGGCTGACAATCACCATGGGCAACGAGCTACCCACTCTAATCAGCATCCCAGCAGCAACCAAACCATCAAGTAAGAGACTAAATCAGCACTCAGAAGAGGCGAGACCTTATTCCCCAGAAGCTACCTAGCAGCAAGCGCGTCCTGCTCATCCTCTTAACCATCCCGGACTGAATCTCTCTCCCCCCACATTCACCTGCTTCCCATCCTTTGAAGGAGTACGTGCACCTCACCTGCAAAGACCATTGGCTTCGCTGACTGAAACCCAGGCAACGGCTCCACAGGTTGGTTATGGAAGTAGAGAGTGTCTCCTATTTGGGCTTCTGTGATCTCTCTCATTCCAGCAATCAGATAGCCCACCTGGCCCGCATACCTAAATGAAATTGGCATCACGTGGAACTATGTAGAATACGAAGAAAAGCAATTCTCTCTCCCCTTAATTAGGCGTCTCATCACACGAATCTCTTGTGTCAGGCCTACCGTTCTAGTGCCTTGGCCCCTTTGCTCACTGAACTGGTTTGTTAATGAAATTGCTACTTTCCCTCCCAGATAAGTCAAAGAAAAGCATAATAAAACTGGCTGAAACCTTTCTGATAACAGGCAGGGACTCAAAGCACTAACGCAATATGAGGCACAGTAGCACAACTCAAGTGCGATTACGCATTTCTACACACTGGGCTTAGCTCTACTCTGTTTGACCTTTGTGTCAAAGGAAAAGCATCATCTGAAGGGAAAGCTGTTGCAGATTTTAACTCTGAACAATTGTTTAGGATGTTTTGACACAGTACGCCTGAGAGTTTGCTTGTAGATGGTTGTGTCAACCTGCAGACATGCATTTTTTCCCCACTGTTCTAGCTAACTTAACAGTTTTTAGCTTGAGAAGAATAACTTAACGAGTCAATGGCTTTAAACCCAGAATAAAACTGAACAGAGTTTACCGCAGTTATTCTTTGGGATGCTCAGAGGTGTTTAAAATCACACCATTCAAAAAAAGTGAATTAGATGGTTTAATAATGTCATGTGAGGCTTGCCTAATTGTGGCCCCAGTCACACAGGCCGGATATCATGGGGGGGGGGGGGGCTAATTGCCCCGGCGCAGTTTGATGCGCGATTACGCGATCAGACGCGCCAGCGGCACACCACAGGTCCTTCCCTTGGCACCGGCGGGTAAACAAGGGACCGGAGGAGAATGCTGCGCACCAGCGCAATCACACCACAGGCGTCTGGAGGCAGCCCGTGGCATAGTACCTTGGAGGCAGAGGTCATTTCGGGGGGGGGGATCGCGGGGAATCGCAGTTCCCCCGGGTGAGGTACGGGGGCGGGGCACATGACAAAGCCCCGTCCCCTGCTTCCGGCCGCCCCGCTTCCGGCCCTCATTCAGCCAGGAGGAGGCAGGAGAAGAGGGAGGGTAAGTTGCTTCCTCCCTGCCTCTCCCCACCCCTGCCTGCCTGGGGCCAGGGAGGGCCTTCGCGGGGCTTCCTTGCACTTCCGTCGGCCTTGCAGGTCCACCGTCAGGCCCCTCATGGGGCTCGGCAGTGGAGCTGCAAGGCCGGCGGTGGCGGCCGGGACCGTTGGGGGCAGGGTGTGTGGCCTTATGACACACTTCCGGTGATGTCAGGGGGTGTAGCCTTATGACACACTTCCGGTGATGTCAGGGGTGTAGCATATGCTAATGAGGTATGCTAATGAGTTCCCCTAGCTCTTTTTCTACGAAACGACCCCTGCTTGGAGGTACTAGTTTTTTAAGGCGCATTGTCGGCGGTAAGCCACGGGTGCGCTCCACTTCCCAGATGTTGGGGTGTGATCACGCCCGGATAATCCACCCACCGTCCGTGCCTCTCCCACGGCAACTTTGCCGTGTGACCGGGGCCCGTGTCTACGTAAGTCACACCCTAAGATTCCCTTTGTTGGCTCTGACTCTCAAACACTCATGCCCCCCCAAATATTGATGGTCTCTAAGGGGCTACTGGACGCAAGCCTGACCCCTCTACGGCAGACCACCATGGCTCCCCCCCCCCAAAACTGTTTTCTGTATCGTTGTGATTCTTGTTTATTTAATCTGTCCGAGAATAATTAGAATGATTTTAAATAAAGTTTTTAAAAGACAACACTGAGCAATCACTGGCCGGGGATACAAGGTTTTCAACAAGACCTGGAATAAACAAACTTCTGACCTCTCTTCAGCCAGAAGACTGGTACCCTTGCTGAACGGTCACTGAAGAGACTGATCACTCTTCATGCAGACTTGTGGCTTAGTGGTTAATGTGTTGCTTCAGAACAGCCAAAGAGAATTTTGTCTTCCCGTGCCTGTTTAAAGTGGGACTGCCATGTCTCCCCCCCCCCGGCCACCTGAAGGGGATGGGGGGGGCAGGGGGACCAGATCCAGGATGGGAAACTCCTGGAGATTTGGGGGTGGACCCTGGGGAGGGCAGGGACCTCAGTGGGCTACAATGCCATAGAGTCCAGCCTTCAAAGCATCCATTTTCTCCGGGGGAACTGACCTCTGTAGTCTGGAGATGAGCTCTAATTCTGGGAGATCCCCAGGTCCCACCTGGAGGCTGGCATCCCTCATCCTCCCCCACCCACCCATGGATGGGAGTCACTCTGTAACAAAGCAGCTTTGCTGAACCACGGCCACAGCAGATGAGCCACTTTGGACAAGACTCCGGAGTGGTGACATATCAATTTCCTTAAAAAAAATAATTAAGGAATCCAGACATCTGCAGGGGCCCCAAACAGCCCTTTTCTTTTTTTGAAAAAGGGGAAAAAAATTAACCTTACAATTTGTGTGTCGGTTGCTCGCTGGGTGTCAGAATTCCTACTTCATTCACTTCGTAAGTCTTTTTCGTGTAAGCGGACGCTATCTTATGGCCCTTGCGGACCTCCCCGCCAAACAGCGCTATGTTAGCGATGACCCCTCGGTAATGATCAAAGGTGGAATCGAACACCAGAGCCTTCAGCGGGTCACGAGTGCTAACAGTGGGCCTGTTAGGATTGAAGAAAACAAACCACAACTGTGGGAATTGCAAAGCAAAGCAAAATCTCAGCGTTGTCTATTCAGTGCCAGATGCATATTCTCAAAGGGCTCACATTGATTTTTTAAAAAATTATTAAAATAAACAAATTACGGATATATACAAAAAACACACAATGTCCATAAGACACATTGCCAATCCAAACCCCCTTTCGTCCTGCCTCCATGGACACAGAAAACCTTTCACCAACAACTGACAATTTTTATACTATTTCCAATTATACAATTGCCAGTTCCATTCTTTGTATCGCTCTTGACCATAAAAGGTCTACTCTATGTGTCTCTCTATTTTTCTGATAAGCGGTTAATCTCACTACAGTATAGATCTCCTTTATTTTCAACAACCAGTCTTGTAGTTTGGAGATAGTTTTTGTTTCCATTGCCTAGCAAAAAAACCAGCCTGGCAGCAGTAATCATATGTAAGGCAACCATTCGCTGATCTCTGGGGATATCAAGTAGGTAATTCAGCAGCAGTGTCTCTGGTTTAGAGGGGATTTGTTTTTCCAACCCAACTGATATAATGTTCTCTGTTCTCCACTTGTTTCCAATAACTGGAGGCACATTTGCACGCCCACCCCATGTGAAAGAAATCTGCCTTGTCTTCTTTACAAAGAACTCACATTTCTAGAGATCACATTACTAGACCAAAATGTAAAGTTCACATGTACAGGTTGTAGAAGACTGTGAAACTGAGAGCCAGTGTGGCGTAGTGATTAGAGTCTGGGACTAGGAACAGGAAGGCCCACATTGAAATCCCCACTCAACCACAAAGCTCTCAGGGTGATCTTGGGCCAGTCATACTCTGTCAGCCTAACCTATCTTACAGGGTTGTTGTGAGGTTAAAATGGGGAGGGAGAATTCTGTATGATGCCCTGAACGCCTTGGAAGGAGGGCAGGATAAAAATGTGGTTGAATGACTAAGCTTCTCCACACACTGATTTTTAATCCCATTTAGGTTACCCCCCAAAAAATAATGCTTCATAAATTAAGGATATTCTTTATAGACTTCAGGTGGCAACACGTAACCAGCCTGAAGTAGAAAACTGGACAGGAAGCGAGCTGTTTCCCAAGAGTATAAAATATCCAAGAAAACAAAACTTACGGGGGGATCCTTTCAATAACCGCCTGAAGTATCCTTTCAACGTTTGTTCCGAGTTTAGCAGAAATCTTAAAAAACAAAAAGTGAACAATTGAAGTCGACATCGTTTTGAGAGAACGTTAGTGAAATACAAAGGCGGCATTTATATATTTTGATTCAGTTAAGGCAGCTCTCTGAAGAAGTGAGCAATGACTCACGAAAGCTCCTGCCCTGCCAAAAGTTTTGTTAGCCTTTAAGGAGCTACTGGACTCTTCCTCTTTTCTAAGGCATATTTGAAAAATCTTTGTATGAATACTAAATTGAACAGGTTATGCCGCATCAATCAGGATTACAGATGGCAAGAAAGAATGGGATATTATTAGTAAAAGAAGAGTCTATTGCAAATGTTTTTAACCGTCTTTCTTGCACTAAACAAAAAACAGGATTTCTTCCAAACTCCTTGCCAAATCAGAGACAATACGCACTGCAAAGACAGTACAGAATAGTGTGCATTGAAGTTCACATAATATTTAAGCACATGTAGAATAAATACTGGCTTCCATGCACGTATCCAAGCATGCTACTTTATGCAAGAATCCCGGTATGTATATTATCTGGGTGGATTAGCAATGCACTCAGCTTTCTTAGAGAAAGATGCTCAGACTCAGTCCCCTGACGATCAAGTCACTGGTGCTGCCGAAGACAGTCATACCAACCACTTGTTAGGGGATCTGCAAACCAATGCAATCTAGCAAACGTCAGCCTCAAATGCTCGTATCTCCGTATCTCTAGCAATACACTCTGAATGCAGAAATCTCTCGTGCATAGAACAGATCAACCTTGCTCAATTAGGACACGAAACTAAGAACATATGGGAAGGATCCCTGCAGTTTTTCTGCAGACACATGAGGGAGGAGGGGCTCCTTCAGATCACTCAAAAGGCTGCACTGGGGATCATGTGACTTATGCAGACAAACAGACATGCACAGAACAGGGTTGCAAGAAATTGGGGGGGGGGACAAGCAAGATCATCCCTCTACCATCTTTTCTGCCCCAGTGGAAAACCTGGTAGAACCTTACCCCCTTTTTTATTATAAATACAGCTTATAAAATTTTCATATAGAACAGCCTTCTCTTCCAATTCTATGAGGAAGGAAGGAAGGAAGGAAGGAAGGAAGGAAGGAAGGAAGGAAGGAAGGAAGGAAGGAAGGAAGGAAGGAAATCTTACCCTGATACACTCTTCCTTGGGGATATCAAATATCTTTTCAATTTGTTTTTCAACCCTCTCAGGATCGGCATTCTTTAGATCAATCTGCAAAACAATCTTCTTGTTACATCAGTTTGAGTACCAGGACAACATACATAAGGAAGTGAGTTTCAAAACTGCCACCAAAATGACAGGCTAGCCACGCACACACTAATGATTTGGAAAACGTGTTACATATAGGTTTCCCTCCCAGCTTTTCTTAGCAATTTGGAAAATGTCCCTAATCTTTGTAAGTAAGCCAAACTCAACTCTGCAGCCAAGGAACAGGACATTTATTTTCCTGTTTCCTGTTCCTAATGCTTATTAGCCAAAAAGGCCATCCACTGACTTTAAGAGAAGTTTTTCTCCCTTATCTATGTAAGCGATTAAGAGCTGCTGGTTTTAAGTACCATCCTGCCATTTCTGCTGTCGGAAGGACATCACAGCATGCCAATGTAAAGATTCTTCTATATTTATATATTAGGAAATAAAAACGTTTAGAAAGAGTAAAAAGGTGAGGAAAGGACAAACCAATATACAACAGGGAGCATTTTCTATTTGTGTCTCTCAGTAGTAACTTCTAGTCAAAACTACTAAACTTCTTGTTTACCAACTGAATAATCTTGGCTGTTTATTTAGGTATTTCTTCACCAAGCGAAAACTCAAGCCTCAGACATGAGACCCAGGCTTCCTGAGGTTAGACTCTGTTGAAGATGCACTAGGATTCTGTACTTGAGAGCTTATTTATACCATATGAAGTATCATAAGCATTACCTTATTTATAACAGGAATTATTGATAGTTGCGCCTCGAAAGCAAGATAAAAATTTGCCACTGTTTGAGCCTGAATGCCCTAGAAAAACATCAAATATTAAATATCTTGAGCTTCTGGCATATTTTTCAAAATACAGTTCCAGGGAAAAGGAAATAGAGAACAAAAAGAACCTTGTCGATATAACATACGAGAACTCCTATACAGCATGGAAATGCTTAACATCTACAAATTAAGTTAGAAGAAAAAGAAGAAGAAATTGGATTTGTACCCCGCCCTTCACTACCCCAAAGGAGTCTCAGAGTGGCTCACAATCTCCTTTCCCTTCCCCTCCCCACAACAGACACCCTGTAAAGTAGGTGGGGCTGAGAGAGCTCTCTTGAGAACTGCTTGTGAGAGAACAGCTCTGAGAGAACTTGTGACTGACCCAAGGTCACCCAGCTGGCTGCACGTGGAGGAGTGGGGAATCAAACCCGGTTTTCCCAGATTAGAGTCCACACTCTTAACCACTACACCAAACTGGCTCTCATAAAATGACACCGGTGGGGAAGAACTGTGCTATGTGGCATTAATGGCAAATCACAAAAACTAGACTGCAGCTGACCAGAAGACAGGTACATAGCATTTCACAGTTATAATATGAGCACAAGTGGAGGATGAGAAAGAAGTATCATTTTCCCCAGCAAAAAAAAATCAGTTCTGGCAAACTGCAACTGCCCTCAACCAGTGCCACCTTGAGCAACGATATTGGACTCCTATATGTTAGGTAAACTTGCTCGAAAGCCAGTCAAATCCGACTCTAGGGTTGCAGTGCTCATCTCCGTTTCAAAGCTGAAGAGCCAGCGCTGTCCGAAGACGTTTCCGTGGTCATGTGGCTGGCATGACTAAACACCAAGGCGCACGGAATGCTGTTACCTTCCCACCGAAGTGGTACCTATTTATCTACTTGCAATTTCTTGCTTTCGAACTGCTAGGTTGGCAGAAGCTGGAACTAGAGACGGGAGCTCACTCCGTCAAGTGGCACCCGGGTTTCGAACTGCTGAACTACTGACCTTCCACAGCCTGCAGTTCAGCGTCTTAACCACTTGAGCCACCACAGCTGATGTTAACTGAGCTACTATTGTGTACACAATGATCTGAAAAAGCCTATGCATTTTAGGTACATTTCTTAGCGCTGTAATAGTCTTCATTTTTATTCATCAGCAGTCTGAATGCAACACACTGCACAGCAAACATAAGTTCTGATTCAGAGGCACCAGAGTTTAATGACACACTTTGCAGCCATTTTAGATCTCAGTACCTTACAGTGTGTGATTGTGAGCAGCTCCCAGCAAAGTCACATTCCTGTAAATTCTCAGTGGACTAACAGTGCAATCCCATGCACAGTAACTCCATTCTAACATAATTTGACACCAGTGGATCTAAATTGCAGTAGCTCTGCACAGGACTGCACTGCTAAGTACCTAAAATTCTGCTAGATGTACCAGGTTGTATCCTACAACTACCTGCTCCTTTGTTTTCCTTTGATGAAAAAAGGCTCCCTCCAATGGAGAAACGCTTATTTCTGACTTGGCAGCTGCAGTATCCGACCCTATGTCTGGCGGAACAAGGCCAGCCTCTCAGAGACCATAATCTCATAAATGTTTGATTCATAATGAAATGCCTGCAGCACACACCAAACTGAACCTTCTTCTCTAACTTCAGATTGACAAGTATCCAGACTGACAAGTCCATCTTGTCCTGAGCCCGTCATCCCTTCCTGCGCTAGCAAAAGGAAAGCTCCCCGTTGCTCTAAGGACAAAACCCATAAATGATACCCCTTCTTCCATGTACACAAAGCTGAAAATGGAAACTACCGAAGAAGCCTACCTCGTTTGCATCCACAACAAGCAAGACACCTTGGCAAGCAGACAACGATCGTGACACTTCGTAGCTAAAATCTACGTGGCCCTGTGCACATTTTAAACAAAAAAAACACCAAACTTGTCATGCACTAATTTCAAGAGCATGGTTTAACACAGTGATCTCCCACGCCGAACCCACCAGGTGTCGTCTCTTTAGTGAAGCACTCTTTCCCCAAAGCAAAAAGCCAGTCCCAGTTTTCTCCAGCATCAATGGAGCAGGAAGCATTTCAGACAAACCCAGGAGGCATCACCTTTGTGCCTGTAAGGAGCACCCATTCAGGGCCAGGTGGACGCTTGGATTGTACTCCCTCAACACTGTGCAATTGGCCGCAGCATCCCATGGCAGCCATTTTGTGGTGGCGTCCCTAGAGATGTGAAGGCCCGGGAAAAAAACAGAAAAATTCAGAAAAAAACAGTTTTTTTCCCGTTTTTTTCCTGAAGCCTTTTTTGTTTTTTTCCAGAAAATTAGAAATGTTGAAAAAAGAAAAGAAAAGAAATTGATTATGGAACATTTTATTTTAACATGATGAATAAAATATTTTAAGACAAGGTGTTCAAATATTTTTCAAATCATTTCTTATATATATATGGTATCAGATTGATCTAATTTCTGTGCACTGAGGACAAGCAAGTCGTAGGTTACAAACTGAACTCTCCAATGCAAGAACAAGATGCCTTTCTTCCTTTAGGAGGTGCGATTGTCAGAAGAAAATTAAAAGGTTTCAGTTTTGTTTTTGCATGTGGGTGGGTATTCTGTTTGTAATAATTGTTTGGATATACTATATTTTAAATATGCTAGTTGTGATAATTTCATGCCAAGTAAAAATGTCCATAGTCATATTTTATGTTCCTAAAGTAACAGAATGACTTTCAATCTAGAAAAGACAAAAAAAATTGCTAATGTAGCATTTTTTTTCAATTTTTCCAAAAATTTCCGTTTCCCCCACAAAAAAAACAGGAAAAAAAGCGGGGGGTTTTCCGAGCTTCAAAATTTCCGGAAATTTTACATCTCTAGGCGTCCCCTCCCTGTTCTCAAAATCTCAAAAGGGCTCACAGGCTCAACGAGTCTGGGGACCTCTGGTTTAATGTGACAGCACCAAGCCCTGACCATTAGTTGGATGGTCATGGAGTATGAACTAAACCTCACACATGCATGATGACTGTCCACTGCTAATATACTGGAGCAGGGCACCTGGGCCTGAAAAGCAAATCAGACCTGGCAGGCTAGAGCCATTGCTCCCATTCAGTGGGGCAAGGATACCCGGCAGTCTCCTATTATTTAAGCAACACCGATGAGGAACTTACAGGCGTGTCAATGAGGTTTAAAAGGTAATTTGTTCCTTCCTGGTTATGAAAGAGCGAGGCAGTCTGAGCTTTGACAGTGATCCCTCTTTCCCGCTCCACTTGCAACTTATCCAGCACTTGTTTATTATCAGCAGTTTTGGCAATTGTTCCTGGAGAGCAGAATGTATTTCAGCAACAAATATAACACTGTTAAGTGAGAAGACTTGAGAGAGAGATTTGGAAAATACACAGGGCTTTTTTTCTGGGGGAACTAGCCGGGAAAAGAGTTCTGGAACCTCTTTGACAAAATTCTTTTTAAAAAGGGTTGAAAGTCCATGAGTTTTCAGTATACAGATTGAAAACTTCATTTCCCTCTTGAGAATTCCAGCACCTCTTTTTCCAAAAAAAAAAAGCCTTGAAAATACATAAAAACCAGATGCAAAGGCATACTACTTTGCCCTTACGGTTATAGAAATGCACATTTTCTAAATATATCAAGACAACTATGATATAACAGCAAGGTTCTGAAGCTCAGCATGGCAGCCCATCGAAATCAAGGAAGACTCATCTGAAGGTTCTTGGGAGTCATTTATAACGATTATCTCCAACACAGATTAATCTTGCAGTCATGGAAGAGAGCAAGATTTCCCTCCACTAGCACCTTACATTCCAACAAGATTTCCAGGGAATAAGCTTTCACAAAAGTGAAACGGACGGATTGAGGGCGCATCAAAAAGCTTCCACCCTTGGAACTCTTGTTGGCCTTTAAGGTGCTACTGGCCTCAAATCTTGCTCTTCTACTGCAGAGCAACACAGCTACCCACCCGAAACTAGTCCTGACATTTCAGGACTAATTCCTGTTGACTCCTATGAATCCTGTTGACTCCATTCCTGTTGACTCCTATGAATCCTACTGACTGCACTAATGACAGAGACCTCAGCCTGTATCCATCCACGTGGTCCTCCCGATGGAATGGCTTTGCCATTTCTGAAAGAGCGGGTGGTGATTTCTCCAGACCCCCCCCCCCCACTTGGTACCCCATGCTGTCAAACCACCAGGAACAACATTTTGTGGATCCCAGTGGGCTGCAGTAAGAGGAGGAAAGGGGAAAGCCTAACTTTGCAAAGTCCACAGATGGCTGGAAGTGCGCGAGAAAGTTCTCCTCCAGCAAAAGAGGCCTGTTCTACCAATGGAAGGCTCTGCCATTAGCAGAATGGAATCACAGGACTCAGCCCCCGGGATGTGGAACGACAAGTTCTGCAGAATGGCACAGAGCAAACAAGCAATGTCCTGTCTAAATGTATAAATGGGCAGTCTCAAAAGCTAAATTTGGGTGTTCTCTCAGAACGGCTACCAAGAAGGACATATATAAACATGGGGGGGGGGGGGAGTTACAATCACCTACTACCTGATCCCTTCAAATTGAGATGCCAGGGATTGAACCTGCTACCTTCTGCAGCAAAGCAGTTACTCCGCCCCTGAACTAACACACTGCTCTGCCAAACACACTGGAATCTCTACAAGATGACAGTAATCCAAGTTCTATCTGTGCAGCTAATGACAAGGAAGCAAATTCACCAGCACAAAAACAAACACTTGTCACATCCAGCGACTCACTCCTGACAGGCAAACAGTAAGCGAAACAAAACATGCAAATGTTAAATTTGCTAAAGTTTGCATGACATATTCCGCCTTAGTTGGATTTTCAAAAATTTGAAAAGTATTTGGAAAATTTGAGAAGTATTGGGTGGGGGCGGGAAAACGAGAGATTTCCTGACTTTTCTTTGCAAATTTTTAATAAAGGAAAAGAAGCTGTGATTATTAGGATGCTGGGCTATATTTCCAAAAGCTAACTATAAATTTGAGTGGAGAAGAACCTTTGGTCTACAACTTAGCCCTAGCAGCACCTCAAGCCATTTAAATGGAATGGAAACGCTGAACTCTCCCATTTCTGTGTTTCTGAAAAATATCCACTTTGAATGCTGGTGTACAATTTTTGAAACTAAAAACAACTCCTTTAGCACAACAATAAACTAAATTTTCTGAGCACACGTTGCATTTTTAGTCTGTACAAACACTCAAATATTTGGGTCTCGACCTGGAAAGCCCAGGCCAGACCAATCTCATCAGATCACGGAAGCTGAGCAGGGCTAATTCTGGCAAGTACTTGGAAGGGAGACCTCCAAGGAATACCAGGGCCGGGACACAGAGACAGGTAATATCAAAAGCCACCTCTTTGAAAAGTCCAAGCCCCACTAGGGGTCACCAGAGGTCAACCATGACTTCCAGGCTCACAAGCACACACTCACTCAAATACACACACAAAAAAAACATAGGAAGGGAGAACAATGCTATAGGCATTTGGGGGCAGGAACGCACAGAAATGGAGTTCCGGCTGGCTCCTGAGTTGGCCACGCCCAGCAGGAGCTCATTAGCATAACAGGCCACACCCAACAGCAGAAATGCATTAGAATTGGCTACATTAGGGGTGTGTGGCCGAACATGCAAAGGAGTTCCTGCTACAAAAAAAGCCCTGGGTTTTGACAACAAACAAGGAAAACAGAATAAGAAGCAAATGGTGGGTGTGGCTGGATGACCACACTTCTGGTAACATGGGTGTGTGGCCTAATATGCTAATGAGCTGTGCTATCAGGGGTGTGGCCTATTATGCTAATGAGTTTCTGCTGTTGGGTATGGCCTATTATGCTAATGAGTTCCTGCTGGGCTTTTTCTACAAAAAAAGCCCTGGTTATAGGCCAGCTTAGGTTCCCATGGGGGGTGGGAAGAAGGGTATTAATATCTAAATACATTAAAAAACGTAAAGAACTCTGAGATAATATGAGTGCAAGTAAAGCACAGAGATGTGGAAAATAATATATCAAACTCATCTCACCTGTTATTTCCAGCAGCCTGTCTGCTAAAGTACTCTTGCCATGGTCCACATGTGCAATTATGCTGAAATTTCTAATATTCTCTGCAGGAAACTGGGACATATCCACAATATCCTAGAGCAAACACAGGGGAAAAAGAGATAAACAGTCATTAGCAACCTAAAGTGGAGGCCAAATCATCCCCAAAACATTAATGCTGCTTTGTAAACACATTCATGAGACACATAAACACAGTTTTATATTTACAGCTTCAAGATATTAAATATATATTTACATTGTTAAGTTGCACTTCTCCTGTTAACCAAAAGGGAGAGCTGGAACATCGTGTAAGTTCACTATTCCAACAGTATACGACTTACATTTGTGAACTGTTTAGGTGAATAGTTATGGGCACAAGCCGGATCATTTTTGGATCCAACTCTTAGCCTGCAGTGCTATGTATCAAATGTAAATGCAATTGAGAAGAACACATCCAGGATCAGACTGTACGTTTTATATCTTCTTTCTACAATACTTACAGCAAATCTTCCTGAAGTCTAAAGACCTTCTGTGCAAACAGGAGGTCTTTATTCTGAAGACTCTCTGCAACAAAAAGCCTCCCTCCACTGGAGGAAACCTTCCCATCTATCTTTGCAGTTTATCCTGCCCTTGCTCCAAGGCGCTCTGGACATTGTACATGATTCTCCCCTCTCAGTTTTGTCCTCTGTAAGGTTGGTTAGACTGAGAGAGGGTAACTGGCCCAAGGTCATCCAGTGAGCTTGAGTGGAGATTCGAACCCAAATCCTTGTCAGACATTATAACTACTCCACCCCACAGGCCAAGGACTCCTCACACAGTAAAAGGGATGCACTGGATGTAAACCTCTGTTAGCTGTGTTATACTGCACTAACACAAGCAAACAGAAAGGGAAGGTTCTATCCAATCCTAAGGCATCTTCAACTTAAAAACAAAGTCGAATGGTTACAAAGACCTCACCCAGCAGGAACTCCTTTGCATATTAGGTGACACACCCCTAATGTAGCCAATCCTCCAAGAGCTTACAGTAGCTCCTGTAAGAAGAGCTCTGTAAGCTCTTGGAGGATTTGCTACATTAGGGGTGTGTGGCCTAATATGCAAAGGAGTTCCTGCTACAAAAAGAGCCCTAGGATACAGGAATAGATAGACCAATGCCATTGTTTCAAAGGAAGCATACTTCTGAATAACCTGACAGACCCATGATCTGTTCCAGCAGGGCTTTTGTGTTTTTATTCAAGAGGGAAAACATACACATCTTAAGTCAACTTGGGGTGTTTGTTTGCTTTCCTTCTCCATTCTGTTCTGACCTAACAAAATAAGCTAACAAAATCTGTCAGTGTTATTTACAGGCTGCAAATGTGCAATCATTAGCAGCAATTCAACGGATACGTTTCAGGCTGCCGTACTTGAAATCAACAGGACTTCCAAATAAACACATAAAGCACTGAGATGCTACCGTGAATCTTTCATTCCTCCCACACAATGGAAAAATATGAGCCGAGAGAGAAGAAAAGCGCCAGACGGATTATAAACCATACAGAGACTGGGAAATAATAGCAGATAACCAGTTTCTTGATCTAATCTAATTCGAAATACAACCGAGTAAATCAAACCTATCAACTTGCTAAGGGAAATTTAGTTGAGCTACTAACAGTATCTGTTTTGTTTCTCAGCTACCTCACCAAAATGAAAAGCCATCTAGTCCAGCATCCCACTTTACCCAGCAGCCAAATCAGTTGCCCTGGAGGGCCAGCGAAGAGGGCACAGAGGCCAAGGCCTTCCCCCAGTGTTGCCTCCTAGCACTGGGTTTCAGGGGTGGGTGGGGGAGTGCTGTCTAGTCTCAGCTGACATACGATGGCCCCAGAGGCTTTTCAAGACAAGAGATGAACAGAGATGGTTGCCCATTGCCTGCCTCTGTGCAGTCACCCTGGACTTTCTTGGTGGTCTCCCATCCAGGGGTCATTTCCTGCAGGACCGCACAGGAGCAAAGCTCCAGCAGTAAAGAGCCCAGGGGGCGGGCACATGCAACAAGTCCCACCCCCTGCTCCCAGCGGCCCTAAGTCAGAGCAAGAAGCAGCCAGGTAAGTTGCAGAGCTCCCCCTGGCCCCCCAGTCCAAAACAGTCCCGTGGCACCTTTAAGACCAAGTTTTATTCAGGTACAAGCTCTCCCTCCTCTGCGAGGACAGATCTGCACGTTCCCCCCCCCCTTCTGTTTGTGATCAGCACAGATTCACTTGTTGTATTCTATCCCCACATTCCTCCCTTCCAGTGTTCCCTCTAAGGCTGTGGTCACCGGGGCTGACCCTGCTTAGGAGCCAAGATCTGATGAGATCAGGCTAGTGTGGGCCACTATGTGGAATTTTTTTTTTGTATTTTTGCATTTCTGTGCATGTGTGTGCCTAGAAGTCACGGCAACCTCTGGCAACTCCTACTGGAGCATGGATGACGTTCAGAGAAGTGGCTTGATAGCCTGCCTCTGCCTCCTGGCCCTGGTATTCTTTGGAGGTCTCCCATCCAAATACTTGCCAGGTTCAGCCCTGCTTAGCTTCCGAGATCTGATGAAACTGGGCTTGCCTGGGCTATCCAGGTCAGGTCTGAATGTGGATATGCTGATTGACCTATCCTCCACAAATCTCTCTAATCTCTTTTAAAAGCATCCAGGGTTGTGGCACTGGCACACATTCCTCTTACCTTGACAGCCTCAGAACCATATTGCCTGAGGAATGCAGGAAAAGGCACAGGCGGTTTCTCCGTCTGCCGAGAGAAATATGAACAAACCGCTGCGCGCCACGACCTCTTAAGCCTGACAAACAGACACCATGTCCTCTCTGTACGCACAAACATGACTGCAGGATGACCAGATGAATGACAGTTCAGGCCGTGGTGCGGCACGCAAAGCTTTCAGAATTGTGCAGAGATTCAGCCACAAGCTCAGCATAGTGAACACTCATTGCACAACCAGCCAAAGGAGTCCTTAACACAAACACATTTCCAAAAGATGGAGCAAAGCAGTTCCTTAGAAAGAAAGGTGCTGTTGACAAGTGCCAGAAAAGTCCAAGGGTCTCAGAATGCAAGTTTACACCTCTTTGCAGAAGTTACTGGTGGGCCTCATCCTGCAAAAAGAGAAAGCACGCACTTAATTTTCCCGAAATATACTTAACCTGTTCTCAACGTTCGTACTTCCTTCCCTGCTTCAGCCAAAAGGTGGTCTGTATTTTCGTAGGCAGGCATCGCTTCCTCCAAATCATAAGCAACCTGCCAGTTGTTGCAGCAAATAAAAGAGGACTCCAGTGGCACCTCTTAAAAAATTTATTGCGGCATGAGTTTTCATGAATCTGAGCTGATCTTGTCAGATGTACAGAGCATCCATCCCTTAGGCAGAAGCATTTATATTCAGAACTGCAGGCAACATAGAGGTAGTGATGGGGGAGATGGGCTGTGGCTTTGAGTATAAATACATCTGCCTAATGGATGAACATTCCCTGCTTCTGATGAAGTGAGGTCTGACTTACAAAAGAACATAATACCTGCTGTACCAGAACAGGAGTCCATCTGCTTCCTCCAGCATCCTCTTTCACACAGCGGTTGACCAGTTGCCCTGGGTAACAGAATATAATTGACAACGCCTTCCATGCCATTGCCTCCTAGCAGCATTATTCAGAGGTTTACTACCTGAGCTTGTGGAGGTTCCAATTAATCACCCTGGCTAGTAGCCATTAATGGGCCCGTCCTCCATTAATCTGTCTAAACCCCTCTAAAGTTATCTGTGCTCTTGGCCATCACTACATGTACTGGCAGCATATGCCACAAATTAATTTCATGCTGGGTAAAGAATAATAATAATTATCGTATGGTAGTGTGTGTAGAATAGCCAGGAGATCCAAAGATTGTCTGGCAGCCAGAAGTTCTAGTTCTTTTTTTTAGCATTATGCACCACTAGGTGGCGAGCTAGACTTGTTTTTAAGGCAAAAGAAGTTTCAGAGGTGGTATTCATTTCCTGTCACAGCCCTGCTATTCCTTGGAGGTCACCCTTCCAAATACTACCCAGGGCTGATCCTGGTTAGCTTCTCAGATCATTTTTTAAAAATATTTTATTATTTTCCATGAAACATGATTACAACACAAATCATACATTTTAAGCTTCTCAGATCTGATGGGATCGGGCAAGCCTGGGCCAACCGGGTCACGGCACTGGGTAAAGAAGTACTTATTTTTGTATATCCTGAATCTTTTGTCCATCCAGTTCACCAAGGGGCCACTAGCTTTAGTATTATGGGAGAGAGAAAGAGTTATCCCATTGCACTTTCTCCACCCCACCCATAATTTTATAAACCTCTAACATGCCTCCCCATTAGGGCTGCCAGTTCTGGGTTGGAAAATTCCTGGAGACTTTGGGGAGGTGGATCCAGGAGATGGCAGAGTTTGGGGAGGGGAAGGTCCAATGGGGTATAATGCCACAGAGTCCACCTTCCAAAGTGGCCATTTCCTGCAGGTGAACTGATCTCTATTGCCTGGAGATAAATGGAATAGCGGGAAATCTCCAGCCGCCACCTGGAGCTCGGCAACCCTACTCCCCCACCATCTTTTTTCTAAACCCAGAAGCCCCCAGGTTCTTTAGCCTTTCCTCATCCAACAGCTCACGTTGGAATCAATGTTCCCTCTAAGATGCGGAGTCTTGTGAGCAAAAATTCTGCTTTGTGAGCTCCTGGCATTAAAGCTGTGAGCCAGCCATTTGGCTCCTGCAGAAATTAGCTTGCTCTGGAGCCATCCTTCCCGAGCTAAGAGAAAAATGGGTGAGCTGGAGGCTAAAAAACAGTGAGCTAGCTCACGCCGACTCAGCTTAGAGGGAACACTGGTCGGAATAAACCTTGTTAGTCTATACCACACCGGCGGCAGACTCTTGCGTTGTATCTTGCTTCTACAGACTAACAGGGCTAGTTGTGGTGCACGTTGCAGATGACGCACAATTCCTTGTGGAAGGAAAGGCCAACGGTTTATTGACGTCCCTCTGCTGCTCCCACAGCCCAACGATCAGGATATTTTGCGCCTCCCTCTTTCCTTTAAGTTGATCTTCCCTAAAAGTGACACTCGAGAATCTAAACAAGGGCACCAGGCTGGCTCTCCCCAGCGGAGCCCGCGACACCTCGGATCCCGGCGAGAAGGCAGGGAGACCACGAGGGACTTTCCTCGGCGCGGCGTGGCCAAGGCGACCCGCCGATGAACAGAGCAGGAAGGAAGAAGCGCTCACCCACCGTGGCCAAGAGCTTCGAGCATCCCACGGGCGGAACCAGCCGAGCTGGGGAGAAAGGAAACGGAAGTGAGGGGGAGAGAGAAAGGGGACGGACACGGATCCTCCCCGCTCAGCTAATTCTTACCAGCGAGAGAAGCTAGAGCGTCGGAGGCTTTTGCTACTATCGGGAGTGTTGTGCGCGTGTGTGTGGTTAAAAATAAAATAAAATAGAAATGATTTTAAACGTTATTTTAAATTGAAATCCAAAACAGCCTCTGGCAGAAAGTAAGTGGCGCGCGCGTGTGTGCGCGCGCCTTCCTCTGCAGCATTTTAAGCACTATTTGAAAACAATATTGTTCCCTCTAAACCGTGCAGTCTCTCATGAGCAAAAATTCTACTTTGTGAGCTACTAGGATTAAAGTTGTGAGTGAGCAATTTGGCTACTGAATAAATTAGTTTGCTCTGGAGCCATCCTTCCTGAGCTAAGATAAAAATGTCTGAGCCAGAGGCTAAAAAACTGTGAGCTAGCTCACACTAACTCAGCTTAGAGGGGACACTGGTTGAAAATACTCCGTTTGTTGTTCCAAGAGGGTGGCTGGCTACGGTGGGTCGGGCGCATCAGGATCAGGACCCGGGACTGCAGGATCGCAGGGCTGCTATGAATGCTGAACGGCACCCCAAAGCGCCACTTGCGGTCGCGGGAAAAAAATAACAGGACTACATGCGCTGCAGGATTGTTCTGAGCCGTTCTGAACCTCTCGCACTTCCAGTTTGGATTCCAAACTTTGGGATATTAGCAATGGACAACATTGCCAAGGTCGCCCTTTCGTTCTTTTTTCACATATAGCCAAGCTGCAATGTGGAAATAACACTGGATTATATTCTATTTTTTCCTCTGTTAACTATAGACCCCACCACATACCATCTGAACACATACAGGAAGCTGGCCTTATAGAGTACAAGCTTTACAGTACAAGCTTAAACAGTTACTCCTTTCTAAACCCATAGGATTGTACTGTCAGTCTATCAAGGTCACTATCGGCTGCTCTGACTGGCAGCGGCTCTACAGGGGTCTTTCACATCAGCTGCTACCTGATCCTTGTAACTGGAGACTGGCCCTGGGACCTTCTGCATGCAAAGCAGAAACTGTTGGGACAGCAGTCTGTTGCCTGAGGGCAAAATGAGTCTTTTGGAGCACTTTCTGGACCAGTGTGAACCTCCAAAGTGGGTCCTCCTAGCCCATGAAAGTTCATGCTTCCTTTAAACCAAAGGAGCAGCCATGTTAATCTGTTGCAGGAGAAATACATAGGTTTTTTTTGTGACACTTAAAAAAATATTTTACAGCATTTTAAATTTCTCAGTAAAAGTACCCAGTTTTACTTAGCAGTTCAAGGGCCAGAACTTCACTGCATCCGCAGAAATGGACTCAAGCAGCACACGAACATTTATGCCAGTTATGCACTGCGTTAATCTTCCAGAGACAATCACACTCCTCCTGTTTTCGCTGGAATAAACCGCTAGCCTTTCATGTACCATAACAGTACTCCACGGATATAGAACTGTGTCTTTCTAGGCCTCTAAACGTCTATTGCGAAAGCCCTCTTTATGTTTTGCATTGGACGCCGATGTTTTAGAGAGACCCGAAGTACCCTGAGCACGGCAATGGATGCGTTCAGACGCACCGTTTGATCTGGTGTCATGACTGTGCAACAACGTATTTTATATGCATGATCGCGTCAGAACCAGACCAGTTTATACCACTCTCAGCACGCCGTCTGAACGCACCCAATGAGTCTTTTCTGTACGCTGCTACTTTGCTGTAATGTATTCAGCCTGACATGCCCGGATTTGCCTGGGCTGGCCAGGCACAATTCCTATGTTAGCTTCAGTCGAAAGACAAAAGATCCGAAGGATCCTAGCCGGCCCAATCAAAAGGACTAGCTTCTCAGCCGGGAGACCAATGGTCGTCCGGTTACTGTAAATAGCCTATCGGGAGTAGGGGGTGTGTTAGGTGTGCTTGGTGGCGGGTTTTCTGAATGTATATAAACCGGCCTGCGAGCCGGTCAGTTGTCTTTGTCCTGAACTAAATAAAGGTATGCTTAGCTGAAATCACTCTCCGTCTGCATACTTTTCATTTGCGTAGCCTCCAACCCCGCCCTACTGGAGTTATCCCTGCCCCTGCCATTTTCCCCTCCTGGTGTTCGCAATTGCGTCTGACCTTGCAGGGAAAGGGTTGCTGGGACGGGTTGATTCGCGTGCTTCACGCCTCATGGGGTCCACCTTAGCTGGTCAAACTGCAAAAAGGAAGGGAACGGGAGCGTCTGGAGAAGCAGCACCTGCCCAAGCCTTGGAGGGGGATTTTTAAACACTGGGTTTGTCTCATTTTACCACCCGTTTTACTTTATAATAGGAAGAATAATTCACAGAAAGACAAAGAGGCTTATAACACCTGCAAAAGTGCTGTGTTACTGGTGTCACCATCAATGGTTTGTGGCTTCATGGCACTTACATACTCCAATGGTTCAAGAATTAATTTATGATTAATTTATTCATTTCTGCATTTACACCACTCACTGGATGAACCTGAGCATCAGGCAAAGAGCAGCAATTTAGAATTACTATGTTTTAAATTGATTTCATTTATTCAATCTCAGAGTTGGAAGGGACCACCAGGGTCATCTAGTCCAACCCCCCGCCAATGCAGAAACTACTACTGTAATATTCTCGAGAAGTAGGTTTGCAATCGATACTGGAAAACCTTCAGCAACGCAGACTCCACCCCCTAATGGGGGAGACTGTTCCCATGTTTAACGTACCTCACCAACTCGAAGGTCTCCCTCAAATCCAGACGAAACCTCCTGTGCTTTAGTTTATATCTGTTAGGGAAAATAGGAGTGCAGGAGCCTGTTCATTGGGGAGGGAGAGAAACTGGCAGAGATCCCAATTGCATCAAGAAAGAGAGACAGCTATTTCAAAAAAAACCCACCCTCATATTTATTGAACTTCAAACCCAAAATGTAAAACCTTCCAAGCATAGAAGAGTCTGGTATGTAGCATATGAAATCGACTCATAATTCTTAATACTTATAGTCAGGGGTCATTTAGTAGAAAAAGAGGTGCAGGAGCTCATTAGCATAACTCATTAGCATAACTTATTTGCCTATGCCACACACCCCGACATCACCGGAAGTGTGTCAGAAGGCAACACCCACTGCTCAGGCTCCACTGGACTGTTTTGGATTGCTGGCTTTGGGGGGGGGGGGACGTGCAGATCTGCCCTCACAGAGAAGGGAGAGTTTCTATCTGAATAAACCTTGGCCTTAAAGGTGCCACT